TTTTGTACAATTTGGATGCGTTTTCTCCTTCAGTTGTGCACATAATGTATTTTGAGAAACATCCCTTAAGGTACCGAGAATAAACATAGGGTTTGTTCATTAAGGACCTAAGTTGGAGAATTAAAATGCATGTGACCATAATGGATACTACTATGATTAAATAGATGACATATCACTATGATTCGTGTGTTTTGTTCTTTGATGAAGGTTGTGCTAGTACTTGCACCAAGTGGGAGAATGTAAGATTTTCCCTAATAATATATATTATATATTATATATTAGGGCCTTAATTAAGTGGTGCAAGTTGACTAGGCTTATTAAGTGGTCTGGTTGGACTTAATAACTAGTAGTTGTTAGTCAACCAAACTCTGTGCCTAATATAACCTGGATTGATGGGATACAGGATTATGGATTAGATAGCACATTCAGTTACGGTACTCAGACCGCTCAGTAGATAGACCGCTCAGTAGATACCGATACACCATCTAGGGTTCTGAGTCAGGTCTGAGACAAAACATGGCTGACGGTCTATCGTTAAGAGGCAACACAACAGAAACATCAACTATGGCTGGAGATCAACACGGCTACGCTTCCGCTATCATACGAGGTTAGGTTTCTCGTATACTATGGTACATATAGTTAGACTATTGTATATCTAACAATATATACACAAACTTATAAATTAGTTAATGGGAAATAAGGGAAAATTCTTTTTTCCTTCCTACTCTAATGGTTAAATTTTGAATATGATCCATTACTCATCACGAGTGAATTTTTTATATCAAAACTTGATCTGCACGAACTAATTATAGGAGTGAATGCGTACGAGAGTGACATGATTTGGTATTCTACTAGTAAAAAAATTTTTAAAAAAAAAATCTGTTAAAAATAATTTCAATTCTATTCTTTATGAGAATGGTATGTCCATGTCATATGAATCGTGATTTACGAGTTAAAATTAATTTCAATTCCATTTGTTATGAGATTAATATGTACATGTATGAATCGTGATTAATAAGAATTCTCACTCCATGTTTTACCCTTTTTTGGTGTGTTTTTAAAAAAACCTACATTAAACATATCATGAATAATAGTGAGTGGTTCAAGAACTAAGAAGTATATATAATTTTAAAGTAATCCTAATCATTACCTCTAAAAGAATTTCCTCTTGAATTGATATGACATTGTTTGATTGATTACTTTATTATTATTATTATTTTTTTTAATTAAAGTTAGTGAGAACAATCAATTCACGACACTCAGTAATTATAAGGCATGTCATGAAGTGGTGATGAATGCTACTAAGCTTACCTAAGAATCCAGGATTTTACATAAGGAAGCGACTAATCTTGACCATTGCGGATTTAGATGGGTAGGGTGGTCTCCATCGGAAGAAGGTTGGCTTAAATTGAACACGGACGGAGCTAAGAAAACTGGTACCGGTTGGACTAGTGCAGGTGCTGTGATTCAGGATCATCGAGGTGAGTGGACAATTGGTTTCACTGTTAACATTGGGATCACTACTAGCATCAGCTCGTTGAGATGTGGGGTTTGAGAGAAGGCCTGAAATTGGTTACTGGGAGAGGTTGGGATAAGGTGGTGATTAAAATGGACAACGAGGTAGTGGTTAACATGATGAAAAATGAGGCTCAGGCTAATCAAGACCTGAACCCCATGGGAGCTTAGCGTAGAACGAAGATTGGTGTAGAATTTGAGAACGGTTAAAATCAGGCATGTTTGGAGGGAGGGCAATAAGTGCGCTGCCAGACTCGCCAACCTTGGTCCTCGGGCAAGATAGTGTGTGGGGTACGATTGTTTTAGAAGAACTTCCAGATTGTTTAGAAGATCTCCTCCATGTTGATATCAGGGGAAACTGTACCCGGAGAATCACTTAACGGGGCTTCAGGTCCCTTCTTTTGCAAAAAAATTTTTTTAAAAAAAATAGAGGGGATTTAGGAGGGAAAAATTAAGAGGGGTAAGAAAAGTTTTCATAATTTTATGTGCGCAACTTACTAAATGGTGCTGGATGGTATGGTTTAATGGTAGCAATTAATCATTACCCCTGGAATTTAATATCCACAATTTGTGGGACGGTGCCAAACTGAGAATGTTAGAGTTGTTAATTTAAGTGGGATGGTGCCAAACTGGATGCTTTAACAGTAATTATGCCGGTTAATCATTACACACTTATTATTTCTTCAATGAAAACATTACCATCATTTCTGTCCCTTGTTACCGGGACTCAATTCGATCAGTTCTTCGTTTTTGTACTTGGCAACACTAGCAGGGTTAATATTACATCATAAATCTAGATTTATTAATGTAACATTGTAACTAGAGTTTTTTCAAGCGTGTTGCGCAATTGTCAACTTTTTTTACTTGTAATTGGAATCTTAATTTCATTATTATGTACTCGTGATTTTTCAAGCGCTTGGTAATATTTTAAAATATTACTAGTTTTTTGTTCTACAAGATTCATATGTAATAAGATGATTGAACATGAATGCCCATGTGAAAGTATTGATACAAATAATAATTATTATTAAAAAAAGATCACAAGTGTTTGATTACAAGATTAAATTTTGAGTTGACATCCAATTTAGTCTTCAATTATAATAATTTTTCTCAATTTAGTCCTATACGCCTTTTTGTATTTAATTAGGTCTTGGACTTTGATGGTTAATTTTACCAAATTGAGTCATCTGTTAACATAGCATAGTAATTTCTCCTATATTAATGCCAATTTAGTCATCGACTATAGTGGTTTTACCAAATTTAGTCATCGACTATAATGATTTTACTCAATTTAGTCATTGACTAGAATAGTTTTTCTCGATTTAGTCCTCAATTCTAATAGCTAAGAACTCAATTTGGTAAAACTATCAAAGTCCAGGACTAAATTAAGCCCAAAAAAATGTTTAGGACTAAATCGAGAAAAAAAATCATTATAATTGAGAATGAAATTAAATATTAACTTATTAAATTTTTGTAGAAGGTTCATGCGTAATACATGTTCCTTTACCATAACTTGTTCACTACATAATGACAATAACTTTTCTATACATTGTCCAAATATTGATGCCACAACATTTATAGTTTCGTTAATAATTTTCCACATATATTTTGCATCTACATCATTATCAAGTTCATATTTATAAAATTAGTATGAATCATTAGGGTACATGAATTGTATTTTTTTTTAATTCAAGGAGAAACTGGTTTATTGATTACTTACATTTTCATCTTCAAGCACGAGGAGTATAAACATTTCCCTTAGTGTTCCAACAGATTCCTTTGGTTCATTCTATAGAATCCTCAGTAAATGGTGTGTTACAGAATAACTTTTGTATGTTACTCTATAATATCAGTGTCATAATATATATACTGATGTTTATTATGGAATAATGGTGTAGTTTGAATTCTATAAAGACTTGATATTAGAATTATAATACATTGGCCAATATGTGAGGTGATAAAATAAGTGCTTGGAGTTACGTTTGTCGTTACTGTACTAGAGTTGGGATATTCACTGAAAATACATAATATAATTGTTAGGGACAATGATTTATAGATTTTGATGATGCTAACTAATTGTAATATTAGATATAATAAACCCCTCAAACTTTCACCATTGTAAAATTGTAATTCTATATGATCTTGGGAAGATCTCACTCGAATGAAGGCGTAGTTTGAAGAAGATGATCCGGAAGGAGTGGCACTTGGAAGGATTCAAATCAGAAGAAAGCATATTAGGAAGAAGTAGTCAAAGAAGTATAAGTGGCACAACTTAAGTGGGTGTTTAATAGTCTATCTGATCTGCACACACAACTTGTCAAAATACCAATGAATAATCTCTCAATGCGATTAAAAAAAAAAAAAAAAAAAAAAAAAAAAAAAAAAAAAACTCTCAATGCAAAAAGAATGTATCAATCTCAAGAGGAAGGATAAAAAGAGTTGTTAGACATCTTCTAAAGTTGTCTAACACGTAGGTTTATAGTAGAGATAAAATTGTGATAAACAACAATGAAATTTTTTGGATCAAAGTGTGCTTATTACATAAATAGGGAAGTAGTCTTTACCCTATGGATCATGACAGTACAAATTTGGAAATTATGGCAGTTTTTGGATGGCTACCACTTAACAGCAAATTTGAATTTCAAAACTAGCCCTCAACTATTTATGTCTATAAAAGGAGAACCATGCTTTGATCATGATGATGACGGAAAGAATTCTTGAAATCACAAGCTAAGGCAGAAAAAACTTTCGAGCTATAACAAGCATTCTAAGCAAAAAGAATCATCCAAATTCTTAAATCCAAACCCAAACCCAAACTCAATCATCATTTTCTCTGAAAGGCATTGGAAGACCAGATCATCTAGCAAGGTGACTTTGGAGTTGACCCTTGGCGTGGATTGATCAAACAGTGAGGACTAAGTTGAGAAGGTACTGTTACTTAATCAAATGATTATCATTAGAATGAAGCAAGTAGCTAGTGTATCACTTGTATGCATGTGCTCGCGAGTGGCTTGACTCATTTGCACCTATAATAGCAATCAAGTCTTATTGATGTTTGCAGCATAAATTCTCTTCTACAAGTAGTAGTTTAATTATGCAAATAACAACTTGTTTGCAATATAAAATTATGTTGTAAACAGATTGTTTGTATCAAAATAAATAAAAGAAATTTATAATCAAATTAGATCAAATACCTCATATTCGTGGTTAGATTATAAAATTACAGTATAATCATAAACCAATTACAAATTATTAATGTTCATAGTGTGATTCATGTATTTGTGTTAAAGTTAAATTTATTTCTTAAATTATTACAAAATAATGTAATTTAAAAAAAAAAAAAACATTAATTATAAGAAGCAAGAGAATCAAATTGACAGTCATCACCCTGTTTCAAATCCTAAACGAACAGACACAATAGTTTCTTACATTCATATAAACAAGCATGCAAGGACATTATCTAATTATATTTGCAAATTCTTATAGAGTAACCAAACACACAATTATAATATAACTGATCTATCCAAACTAAATGCAAGATAAAATAGAAACAAACGTCTTTGAAATCCTGGAATTCTTGCAAACAAGCATACTACCTAAGGTTAAAATGTAGGATAAAGACCTGGGAAAATCGTTTGCTGCCACATTCATTTCAAGGCATTATCTGACATATGCTGAATCTTCTCTCTGCTTCACTGGCTCAGCGCCTTCTACTCTGCCTCCTGCTGCTCTTCTTTCTGCTAGAGCGATCCTCGGAATCTGATTCTGAATCTGAGGATGAATCAGAGGACTCGGATGTTGAGCTGGACCTCCGGTGTCTTCTTTTCCTCTGCTGCAGCTTCTTCTTCTTCTTCCTCCTCCGCCTCCTCCTCTCTTCCTCTGAGTCAGTTGAAGAATAATAACTTGTCTCACTCCCCGCGGAAGAAGAATTGGTCCCTGCACCACTGTCAGATTCAAAAACAGAAGCCTCGCTGTCACTACCAGACTTGCTATCTGATTTGTGCTTTCTTTTACTCTTCTTCACTTTATCTTCATTCTTCCCATCTTTCTCAATGTCTGGGTTCTCTAAATCATAAGAAACCGATCCCTTCATTCTCAGTTTTGGGTTTTTCAGTTGCTGGGTACGAGATGGCCGTGAGATGTAAACTCTCTCATTCTTGCACTCGTATGTCCAGTGACCAGTCTGGAAACACTTTTGACATTGAGAAGCTGAACCAATTGAGGTCATCGAAGTCTTAAGGTCTTTCCGCTCACCCAATCTCACCTGCTTCTCGGTACTCATCAAGTACATCTGCCTCTTTGCTTCTTTTCTTTCTTGCCATCGGCTCGGCCCTTCCTCCTTTTGCCCATACGCATTCACATTCCGAGCTGCAGCAGTAGCCGCACGTTCAGCTTGAGCACGACTAAGACCCTTTGCAGCTGATAATGCTGCTGCCTTAATTCTTTCTGCCGCATCTTGAGCACCAACATCTTCATTCTTAGAAGACATGTTTCTGCATCCAAAACCAATACTTAATCGCCCGTTTTATAATATAATTCAAAACAATATCCAAATCACAAGCGAATTTAGTACACAAGATTTCTCAATACAAGGGTACAACTAACAAAATTAAAAAGTGACTCCATAGAATCATAATATTTAACAAAACAATTTAACCAACATGAAACTAAGTAGATATCCACACATGTGAGAGTCTAAAAACAAAGCCTAATAAGTACAAGTGCATATGGTGATCTTAATATGTTTCAGGGTTTAGGGGCACAAATTTAAGAATATTAATACTAATGATAGTAAATAAAACAACTATATTTCAAAATACTCAAAATTATGCCAAAAATACAATTAGATTTCACTCATCCCTGTAAATCCCCTTGAAATCATGAACATCAGCACTCAAATACTAAAAGAGGACTAGGGCTAATTGTTAATATATTGTTTTTAGACTTTAGTTTACATGTGAGATTCATTGTCTTACGTGAGACTAGGGCTGCAAACGAGTTCGAAGGTTGGAAGCCATCACACGATGTAGAATCAAATCAATCAAGAACACCTACCAGATTCGCAGGGGAGGGTGGGAGGCGGAGGCGCGAAGTCTTCGTCGTCGACTACTACTCGCAGATTCGCGGGGGAGGGCGGGAGGCGTCGTCGTCGGCTGCTGCTTGCAGATTCGCAGGGGTGGGCGGGGACCCTTGGCGTCGTCGTCAGCAGCTGCTGCTCGTCGTCGGATACCCGGATTCGCGGATTCGTCGTCAGCCTCGGCGAAGCGGAGTCGAAGTTTAGATTTTAGATTTTAGTAATTTGGGAATTTGAAATTTGAATTTTACGTAGTAATTGGTAAAGTTTACCTCAATATTAAATTGAGTAAATACCAGTGGACATCTTCTGACTTTTGTTTCTAATCATTTATAGTCCTTCCATTACAATTGACCATCTAATGTCATTTTCTCAAGGGCAATTCGATCCTTTCATAATTAATGTATTAAGTATTTTTTTGGAAGAAATTACGAGCCATGCATTCATTAAAATGCCTAATTTTTAGCTAATTTTAATTTCAAGAATGGACTGAATTGCCCTTGAGAAAACGGCATTAAATGACCAAGTGTAACGGAAGGACCATAGATGGTTAGAAACAAAAAGTAGGAGGACTGGAAGTTGTTGATTTAAAAGGTGAGGACTAAAAGTGACAGTGCCACCAAAGTCGGAGGATGTCCACTGGTATTTACTCCTATTAAGTTAGGGTGTGTTTGGTTGGTGGGTTTTGCACATAGGGATGGGTATGAAAGTGATTGTTGTTGTTTGGTTGATAGGTTTTTAGAACACTACTATGGGTTTCGAATACTCCATCAATTGAAAAATTCATACCCAAATAAAATAAGGGTTTCATTCTCAAACACTACTATTAGTAACCATTCCCATTCCACCCTACTACCAAACATGTTAAATACTTTCACCAAAATCCATTACCATTACCATGTATTTGATACCCATTCCGATTTCAATTCCTATGTGCGAACCAAACACACCCTTAGCATTACAGAATTTAGGGTGTGTTTGGTTGAGGGGTTTAGCACTTGGGTATGGGTATGAAAGTGATTATATGTGTTTGGTTGGCTGGTTTTTAAAACATTACTATGGGTTTGAAATACCCCATTAATCAAAAAATCCATACCCTTATAAAATAAGAATTTCCCTTATGGGTTTCATTTCCGAATTTTAGAAATTTGACCAGGCTTAAGATTGACAAGCTGTTTAATTCTATTATTTGTTGTTTGAAACAGAAAATGAGTCATCTTCCAATTGTTTTGAGAAGGCGAAGGCGAAGGCGAAGGCGATTTCGCATGACCACAATTATGTGTGCCATCGTTATGGCTATGTTGGAATTAATTACATTATGGTATTACTTTATTACTCTTTATAAGACATTGAAGAGGCGTAGTCTAAGAGATGCAACTGGAAAATCAATGTCTAGAATTAAATATATATTCTCACTTATTGGGTAAAGTGATAGATATTGTAGAAGTGAACTTCGAATGAATAGACACTCATTTGATATATTATGTGAGATGGTTACTGACATCGGTGGTTTAAGAGGTACTAGGAACATGCCAATACAAGAGATTGTTGCTATGTTTCTTTACATATTGGCTCATCATAAGAAAAATAGAACAATATCACGCGACTTTTTAAGGAGTGGAGAAACTGTAAGTCGTCAATTTAATCGATGTTTATTAGCTCTGTTGAAGTTGCATGGAGTGTTGCTTAAAACTCCCGAGCCAATTACGGATAATTGCACAGATGATAGGTGGACGTGCTTTAAGGTAAACTATTAGGTTTTTTTTTTTTTTTTTTTTTTTTTTTTTTTTTTTTTTTTAATACTAGTTTTATTTCTTTTCTTAAAATGTGTAAACTAATTAGCTTTTTTCTTGACTTTATTTTTTAGAATTGTCTAGGTGCTTTAGATGGAACTCTAATTAGAGTTACACCTCCATTTGGTGACAAATCAAGGTATTGGACTAGGAAAGCTAGTTTGACAACAAATATGTTAGGGGTTTGTACATCTAGTATGAAATTTACATATGTTCTACCTGGTTGGGAAGGTTCAACACATGATGGACGTGTACTTCGAGATGCTATATCTAGAACTAATGGCCTTAGAGTCCCTCAAGGTATACATCAATACTTTGTCATTTTATTTGCCCAAAAATCTTTCGTAGATACTAATTTTGGACACGTGTGTTTGAAGGTTGTTATTATTTGGTTGATGCTGGTTATTGCAATGCTAAGGAATTCCTAGCTCTATATCGAGGGCAACGCTATCACTTGAATGAGTTTCATGGTAGACAACCACAATCTAAGTATTTTAATATGAAACATTCTAGAGCTAGAAATGTCATAGAGAAATGTTTTGGATTCCTTAAAGGAAAATGGAAGATTCTTGCATCTCCTTCATTTTTTCCGATCAAGACTCAAGTGATCAACATCATTATATATGGCTTGTTGTCTCCTACATAACTTAATTAGAAAGAACACAATTATAGAAGAAAGAGAGGAAGATGTGATAGAGGATCTAGAAGCTTCAGATATTGAAACTGACGATATGATGAGGAGGATGAAGTGGAATATATGACTAGTATTCAACCAAATGACGAATGGGCTAATTTTAGACCTAACCACACAGGCACAGTAAAAAATTAAGAGAATAATTAAAAGAGGAAAGGGTTATTGGTAGTTGTAAAGCACATCATAGGGTGGAATGAGAATGATTAATCTAAGGATGAGTAATGGGATTAAACTCTTATAAAGTAAGGAAATGAGTTTTTTTATTAATGAGTATTCCAAACTCATAGTAGTGTTTTAAAAACCAGTCAACCAAACAATAACAATCATTTTCATACTTATATCTGAGTGCTAAACTTGCCAACCAAACACACCCTAAGATTGTGGGACATATATATGCAGCTAGCCAACCTATAGCATTCCAGCTGATTATTATATTAAAGTTAACGTAACCACAAATTTAGCATTGTATGTTTGGGAAATCGAATTGATAGATGTTTCAACTAATTGCCTCAGTACAAGATCCGAGGAAACAAACATTAATTGCAAATGGTAAGAATGATGATCTTGAAACAACAATTATTACAAGTCCAAGTCGGAGTTACAATGTTTCATACAAATATTACCAACCTATTATGTCAAACATTACACAAAATGTTGAATATTATAACTAGCCAAGCAATTTGTTGCTTAAGGGATCTTCTTCATTCTGACGACAGAAGAGCTTTCATCCTTAGAATCACTTAATGGGGACTCTCCGCTCTCGCCCCTTTTACTGCACACACACACACACACAAAATTATTCAATTTGTGTAGAATTACAAGTTGATTTTGTTACGAGAAAAATTTATCGAATTAGAAGTTTTATTTTACACCAATACAATAACTTTGTCGTATATATTTTGAATATATGATATACAATATTTTTATGCAAAAATTATATTTTATACATATTTGAAATGAAGATAATAATAAATTTAAATCAACTTAACTAAATTAGACATTATCGATACAATAATTTAAATAATCATATATATAAAAGAAATTAGCATATCAGACTTCCAAAATTTTGGAAGACCCACTAATATAATCAATTTCCCCTACATAAATTTTTTTTTTTTGAATGCTACTAGCTCTATTACATTGTAGTATCTGTTCATATATTTTCTCAAAGTACTGAAACACAAAGAGCTAATAACGCCTCCACTGAGGCTCGAATTCACAACCTTCCAAATGGAAGTCCAACCCGGATACCATTGGACCACATAGTCCTGGTCCCCTACATAAATTTATTTATTCTATAAATAATTAAATATACATAAACTTCTTAAACTTTATTTACATATTTTTTTTAAAGATATTGATAAGTAGTACCCACTTACCTATTTTGATTCCAATCAAATTTCTTTGAAAAATCGGAATTGTTAGGAAATTCTCCTTTAGCAAAGTAGAAACCATCGGACTTTACTTGCCAATTGCAATATCTTTCATCATCACAATCATGATTTTTCGCATCAAATACGTCAAAGCTTTGGGTACGACTTCCCCACGTAAAATCACACCAATATAGAGTGGTACCCCAAAAGTTAACGCGGAAATGAATGTTAAACTCTTGATTTTCGACTAAGCGCACAAGTCCAAGATCGTTCATTTTAGACTTACAATGTAAAAACAACTGAGCTGGAGGTTGGATAGGGTTGTTTATTGGGGTAACATCATAGACTCGAACGACCTTTTTTGGGCCAGCTTGCACTTGTATTGCAACAAAACATAAGGTTGTGAGTAAATAAAAAGCTATTTTTGTGCAGGGAAAACTCATGTTGATTGGAATGGGGGTGAAGTGGATGGTTTGGTGTAAGTGAAGAACAATATATAATTTTCTCATGAAATAAGATAGACTTGATTGGAAATAAATTAGATTAATCTTATATATATATTTAAAAATGCAGAAATCAATACAGTATATAAAAAAAATATTATGATTGAAATAATAAGAATAATTTTCTGATCTTAACTGTGAAATTAAGGAAATTATTTTACATATATAAGGAAATGCATCAATGATTAGCTAAACAATTGTATTTGTATTTCATAATTACAAATAAAAGTTCTTAAAAGCAGGGAGACTTGCGACATTCTAATCTGTCAAATAATTTTAAAATAATTTATTACATCATTTCAAATCTTTTAATGGGTTACTTTTAAATTAATATATATAATTAAATTATTCTACCCAATTATATATATATATATATATATATATACATATATATATATATATATATATATATATATATATATATATATATATATATCATTCCTAAATATGATCCTAATAACTATATATGATGTACGATATATATGTATATAATAATACATAAATATAGTATTATCCTATTATATCTATATGTAATTATGGAATTGACAGTTACATACGTTCATATGGAAATAATTATTATATAAATAAATATCCTACCTTTTAATAGACTATTTTTATATATGGTAATTAATTTCATAATTACAAATAAAAATTTCTAATTGAAGGGATACTTTTGTGACATTCCAATCTACCAAATAATTTTAAAATAATTTATTATATCATTCCAAACCTTTTAATAAGTTATTTTTAAATTAATATATATATATATATATATATATATATATATATATATATATATATTTATTTATTTATTTATTTATTTATATATATATATATAATTAAATTATTCTACTCAATTATATATATCATT